GTCGTAAAAAACGCAAGAACATATAGATGGCAAAAGCGCATTGACTAAAAACAAGTCACAAAAGATAAAAACAAAATGTACACTTTTTACTTCCAATACCCATTTTTATTGAATAATAATAATAATAATAATAATAGTAATAAAAGATGTCCAGCAAATTAGCAAAAGATGAGAAATGGGAAGTGGAGAAGAGAAGAGAAGGTACCATACATATACAATATAATTCTCACCTTTTCACATTTAATCTTAGAGAAAAGGCATAAATAAGAATGTCAATATTGTATTTTCTTATTTAAAAATATTAATTTTATTAGTTTTTAAATAAAGATATTAATTTTTAATTTTTTTATTTAAAAATATCAATTTTTAATTTTGTTATTTAAAAATAAAATAAAAAAATAATAACTATTTGTAACGCTTGAAACAGACCCTCACCTAACGTCTCCACAGTAAATAAGCATGAACAAACTCAAGTTACAGTTAATATATATATATATGGACACACCAACATTGCCATTGGCACTCACCTTCTAACCACTCATCAATGGCGGGCCATATATTTATAAATAGATGAAACTCAAACAAAGTAACAAGGGACATACTTCTGATCAGAGATCTACTTTCCACTACTACATTTTACATCTATAATTATAAGAAATTCAATAGCTAAATAGTAAAAAACCGGATTTCTCTTGCTCCGATTCCTCACTCCGATTCTCTTCTATTCTTTTTTTTCCTATTTCTCTCTTGTTCCTCCCCTAGAAAATTGGCAAAAGTTTATTTTTAACCCTTTATTTTACTAGATTTGTAAGTTTTAACTATTTATTTTATACTATAACACTTTTAACCTCTCAGTTATTATAATTAAAGAAAATAGTTCTTACTTATAATATTTTGTTAATTCTGTTAACTGACTGTTAGTTCTATTAACTAACTATTAATTCTATTAATTGATTGTTAACCGGCACAAATCTACTTTCAGCTAACAAAGTTAACAGTCAGTTAACAAAACTAACGAAATATTATAAAGTGAGCTATTTTCTTCAATTCTAATAGGTGAAAGGTTAAAAGTGTTATAATAGAAGGTGGAGGGCTAAAACCTACAAATCTAATAAGTTAAAGGGTCAAAAGTAGGGTTTGCCCTAGAAAATCTACCCTCATTCCGATTCTCTTCTATTATCTACTTTATACCCCAAAGTCTCTTCTGCTGTAACTTTTATTTATTTGTTTATTTCTTAAATCTGTAATCAATTGGGCAAAAACACAATGTTAAATTCACTTGGTGAATCAACATGTGCCATTTCTGCCAAAAAAAAATCAACACGTGCCATGTTATCAAAGGTCAAATAAAAAAATAGTTCAATTTTTTAAAATTGAATTTAAGGTGGAACCTCCTAAGAGGACTTCCTGTGGAAATTTTTAATAGAAAATGATTTTAAAATAATTATTTTATGCATCGAACGTTCAGATTCAATTGTTAATTTTAAAGTCTTAAGTACTTAAGTGTAATTTATAGAGTTTTAAGATTTAAATGCAATTAACTGAGAATTCGATTTTTATTAACAACTTAAAAAAAAATCCCCACTTTCTCAAATTCTCATATGTTAAAAATAAATAATTATTATTTTATAATTTTATATATTATTTAACAATTAATTTTTTGTTTAATTAAAATTTCTAGTATTATATATATGTATTTATTAATATATAATAATCATATAAAAAACTTTCTTTATACTGTTTTCTATTTTGAATAAAAATGAGCTACCAGCCCGAGCGAGCATTTATTCTCTTTGTCGACTAAATTTGTATTACTCGGGGCACATAGATATGTTTTGTTTTGTGAAAAAAACTTAAGGTGGGACCTACGTGAAGCGCGCAAAACAAACGATCAACCATGATATTGCTTTTCACTTTACTCATCAGACAGCGTTGTATTTCCATTTTTAACCTTTTAACAGGTTTTTACATGGAAATCGACTAATCATGACACAATAAAATCTAGCAAAGTATTTGTATTTCCAAATTTCACCAATCATGCAAGTAGAATAATTTCACCAAATGACCATATATATAATATAATTCTTGCCTTTTTCACATCTTCGACCACATGTCTATAGCAGAAAGGTAGGTAGTATTTGGAATGATTGAAACAGACCTTTATCACGCCTCCACACTAAATTTCACATAAAAAGAAAAAAAAAAGTCTCCACGTGAAGACAGACGCAACTTAGACCATTTTTTTTTCCAAAGTACACACTAACAGTGTCATTTGCACTCAACTTTCCAAACATATCTCTCATCAATGGCTGACCATTCATAAACAGATGAAACTCGACAAAAGTAATTAAACAACAAAGAGACACACACTTATTAATCTGATCAGAGATCTTCTTCCTGATGATCTTCCTCCTTCACTCTTCATCCTCCTGTAACATATTATTAATTACTCATGGCAAACAGAAAAATAAAAGTACACAAACGTACGAATCCAGACACTTTGGATTCATAAAATAAAAGTAATCATCATTGCGGTGGCGCCAAATTTAACACTAGAGAAGAGTTGAACAAAGAAACTAAGATGAAAGATGCACTTACTTTTACCTCCTCTTAATCTGATTCCACTGGTGGTTTATTCAGGTCAAATTCCATATTGGAAGACTTATTTCCACTTTGCAGGCATGAGAAAGGCGCTGATGTCGAAGCAGCAGTGGTTGCATGAGCATTCCCTCCTTGGTCCAAATTTATATGAACTTCCTCACCTCCTTGGTGGACATCGGCGGCCTCTTCCGCCTTAGGCCCCTCATCCGGTGCTAAAACTCTTTCGAGCAATTCAATTAAATAAGTGGAACTTGCTCGATCGCCCAAAGAAATTTTCACCCGGTCACCTTCCTTCAAAGCAAGCTGGTCAACAACGTCTTTCCAGCCAGTTTCCAGAAGAACGAGGCGATCACAAGTTCGTCCGAGTGAGAAGGTGACTGAGAACTCGCGATTTCCACTCTTCAACGTTGCACCAGCCTGTCGACTTTGCCCCAGCTGTAAGGTCGGAGGCAAAAGATGACGACGTGACTCCATTACGGCTGTTGGAAAGGCGAGCTTTTTGAGGTTTGAGGAGCAAAGCTTCATAGAGTCAACCAGGTTATGCCCTTCCGCCATTATAGATTGATTCAAGCTCAACTGATGAGGAAGAAGGATGCCTGTGGGTTGAGGGGCACCGGCTCATCCTTCAATTTATAGAGCGTGGGTAAAATTAAATAGAGAAAAATCCCCCCCCCCTTTCCACACTCAAAATTGTATTGTCCGTTCCCACCACTAATTACGGGTATGATAAAAATATTTTAACCTTTCTTTAATAGCGACTAATGGATCCTATTTTAACCTTTCTTTAATAGCGACTAATGGATCCTATTTTAACCT